CCCCTTCCGGCTGACTGCAGCAAGGTGACAAGCTCAGACTGGGCAATTCAATCAGATGAGACAAATCTCACTTTGTATGGGAGGGGGCCTGAGGTTACAGCACTGACCTCACAGATGGCAGTGGCTTAGGCAAACATCTGGGAGGAAACCTTTGCGCTTTTAGCAACCATGAGGCCAAGATTTCATGCCTGGCTCTTTAGGGACCCACCCCACTCTCCTCACACAGGCGAAATGTTGCCGTTCCCCATCCCAAGGAGGTGCACTGGGCAGCTAAAGTGATTTGCTCTTACCTCTCTCTGCTGGTGGTGAGAGCTCAATAAAGCTACGGCATTTCTCTTCTGAAACACAAAAACAAGGGTATTAGTTTACAAAACAATACAGGGTACATATGGGAAAAGCAAATCTCTCACTCTCTTCACTGCGTAGCTCCAGTCAACCCTGAGCCTACCCATTATACCTTCTCACCTCTTCTCTCATTCTGACCACCTTTCCAGACCTTCACTGGGGCAAGGTAGGGGAAGGCAATGTCTGCCTGGAAATCTAGAAGCGGCCTTTCTGGAAAAAAAACTTCAGCAATTTGTAAATCTTATGAGTCTTTGATGAATATAAAAACCTGTTGCTACTCATCCACAACATTGCTGTTGGTCAGGCCCATTAAGGGTGTAGCATGTAACAGACTGCAGGCCCACCACTTCTGCTGAGGACATGAATTCCCACTCACCCCAGTCTCAGCAGAGCAGTTCTAGCACTGCTTCCCAAAGCAGCAATTCAAAAACAATTCTTCCCAAGTGAAATGCTGTATGACAGAGATGGGAGTTCCTCTTCTGTGACAGAAAATCACACAGAAATATGCCCTTCTGTCCTCAGATTTCAGGCATGCTCTTTGGACAAATGGTGTTTGTATTTGCTTTGGCTTTTTATGTTGGCCAGATGAAAACTGTTGTCTCAGCTGAGGGTCCATCATTATTATCTGCAAGTCTGTCTGACTGCATACTGCATTTGAGGGTCCTCTCTTCTGCTTGGCACAGTATTTTCTCCCAGAAGTATCATCCTGCTGCTTCTCATGCAAGAATCTCATTTTCTTAATTTCTATCCCCAGTACTAATCTCTCCCAATCTCCTGTATTACTCCTGTCATCCACAGCTCTCAGGATGCTACCCAGCTTAGTGCCATCTGCGGTCCTCATTAACTTGCGGTTTGCTACTTCACCTAGAACTTTAATGAGGTTATTCAGTAATGGCTCATCTAAACTGATCCCGAGATTAGCCTGAATAATGAAATCCTTTCTCCAGCTCAACGCTGGAGAGAGTTTTTTTTTTTTTATTGTTGTCTCTGCACTTGCTTCAAAGACCCACAGCAGTGGGTGGCTTGTACTCGATTTACAGGAAGCAGGGGATGGAGACTGACTTGTGCTCTACCCCGTGATCTGCTGCAATCCAGATGTAACAAGTTGTCTGCATTCCTTTAGGCATTGGGGTTATTCCAGGACTGTCTGGTGGCCAGACAAGTCTTTCAGAGAAAGCTGTCAAGGAATATAGTCCCATTCCCACAAGCACCATGGAAACACACCCCAATCCCAATCAGTCCCAAATAAACACGTCTCCTTCTGCAGCATGTCTGGAAATGCTCATTAGGAAGCAGCTCTCTTGCTAGGACATCAGAGTTTCAAGCACATTCCCTCCTGCTCCCACCCCCCTTCTGTTTGCTTTTATTCATCAGTTCTTTATTTTCAAACTGACAGCAGCAGATAAGAAAATGAGAGATGCTATACTAGAACGGTGGCTTAGAGGTGAGATGTTTGTGCTTGGGGAGAGCTGAAGGGAAATGGGCCTGATGAAAGTGACTTTCATCAGTGTATCTTCAGACACAAATCTCCCTATTGGGCACCTTCTGGGTCAGCTCTGATCCCTGATGCATGTGCCAGGCCATGAAGTGCCTCTGTGCACCCCAGAGCGTCCAACTGGCACAGGTTTCGGCAGAAAGACTTTGGCAGGGCTGGGCAGGAGCAAATCAAGGGTGAAGGGAGGCACTAAAGGGGTCTAGTACAGGCTGCATGACCAGCCCCTGGCATGCCAGCGTTTACAGTGCCAATCCAACCAGGTTAAAAATTACATGTGAAACATGTCACAATATCACAAAAAAAAACCAACTAAAAAATGACAGTACTGCAGCTCTAACCCTCAGGTCAATTTGTCTCCTAGCCTCTAGGTTCAGATTCTCCAGGTTTTCTTTGTATCTGTGAGGCAGTACTTCTCTTCCTCTTTTTTTTTTTTTTTTAAAGACATAAGAAAAGCCCAGTCCCTGTTCAATTCACAAAAGCTCTCAGTTTGGTGATTTAGGGAGAACACCAACTATTGCAATCCTCACAGTGACAACCATAAACTGACAACGCTGCATAAAATCACCCTGCCTAGATTTCTAGGGGACATGCACAAACGTGCCCTGGAGAGCATGAATTAAGCTGTGTGTAGGAATGGAGATATGGGGAAAGGGAAAGGAGGCTCCCTCCAGTTCACATCAGGATAAATGATGCCATCACAAGGTCACTGCCACCTCCACCACTTGCACTTCATAGCCCCTAGAAGGGCACACAACCATTCTCCCTTGCCCCTTTCTGTAAACATCCCAATGAAGGACAGAAATATAATGACCACAACAGTGCAAAGGGCCGATGCCATCTAGGAAAATGAAGGCGGCTTTTCTCCCAGGTGTTGTCAGCCTCCTGCCTTTTATTTCCAAACTCCCATGGAGTAAATACAAGAGAAGAAATTGTGGTTTCACGGGTAAGATGCTACCTGGCCCTTCCATGCTCTCTTCACAGGAAAGCCACATCCCTGTGTGGAAGTATCTGAAGGCAAAGCGGTCATCTCCGGTCTCCCAGCTGTAGTGCACCACATCCTGGGATGAAACATTGCTAGCACCTGCATCAGGCGGCATGGGGACACCGATGCACTTGGTAGCTTTGCTTTTCCCACACAAAGGCTTGGGCACTTTCTGGGTCCCAGTGCACCAGTAGCTCCCGAGCAAGGCGGTGGTGGAGAGGCTGAGAGCCAGCAGGTTCAGGATGACAGCCAGGAAAGCACGGCGCCATGGCAATCCCTTCAGCAGCTCCATCTACAACACACAAACGGGAGGGACTGTCACACTAGCCACTTGTCCCACTTAGCCTTACAAACACCAGCTCTTCCCAGCATGCACCTATGGGGAGGGGATATGAGCACTCTGCACTCCTCACAACATCCCAACAGCTCACTGAGCATGGAAGAACCCTTTCCTGAAAGCCAGGGCAGTGAAGCAATAGGCCAGCTTCAACCATTTTAACATACACTGAATATCTGTACTGGGGAAGAGAGGGTGACCCAGTAGACATAGCAAAGCTGAGTACACTGGGGTGTGTGAGCACACAAGCAGAATGAAAGGGACATCACATTCACCCCATCTCAGGGATGGTGGGGAAAAGCTGTTAACCAACTTCCCCAAATACCATGTGTTGCCTTTAGATGGGGCATGATGGATGCCCTGTCCAACTAAATGGCAATTCTTGCTGCCAAGCATCCCAAAACACCTTTTCAAGCAATTCATTACTGTACTTGGGGAGTTAGGGAGTGTATTGATTTCACGGTGAAAAGCAGGGAAATGTTCCTGCATCACCAAAGGTCACACATCAAAGCCATGACCTGCTCAGGAGGGACACCCAGCTATCCAGCCCTGGCAGCTTGAGTTCAAGCCCCAGAGCAGCACCTCCCACCTGAGCAAACACTGCTCTGCGCATCAGAAATTTGGTAGGGTAGTAGGATGACAGTGTCTCTGCTCTCACACAAAGTGCCGATCGTGTTGGGTTTTTTTAAGAGCAAACATTGTCACAAACACTCTTCCCAGCTTCATCTCATCAGAAAAAGTAATTCACGAAGCAGTTTTGTGTACCAGGGTTCTGTGGTCTTTCTCACACAGGGGGAAGCTTAAGATTTTAAGGTTCCTGCAAAACCCTGCACTGACTTCTGAGAACTCCAACTTATCACTCCATGGATTGATTAGATGTCATCTACCCACACATCAACTTTCATGTAATCAACGCATACCTCTTCCCACATGGCACTCCCTATGTTTGGCACAACTTCATCCAGATACTCCCACCCTTTCCTATTTATGACTCTGAAAATCTATTTGGTCATGAATAGATTCAGTTTGTATAGACATGCCTGCTGCCAGTCCTCTTCACATAACTTCAGTTGAATCACCCAACACTGAACGCATGAAAAAGGCCCAGCATACTGTGGACACTACTATAAATAAATGATACGAGACTGAGCTTTGCATTGTTTGTGTCTGCACCACAGCCCAAAGTGGTGCAGTTAGAAGCATTTGTTCTGCTAAGCAGCAAGCTCAGAAATGCGATCAATGAAGATGGATGGATGCCCTCCTCTTGGAAGGCAGGACTTGATTACCATCTCATCACACTGAGAAAAAAGTTCCTGATCCAGAACACCTTCATTGAAGGCAAGAAAATACCCAGCTCCCAGAAAATTCCTCTTTTGTCTTATGCTCTGGCTTCTTTTGTCTCTTCTCCAGAGCATTTATCTCAGCAACGGACATGCTGGAGATGGTAACATTTCAGTGACACCATAACTAATGACTTCCATGTTCTGAAGACTTGTTGGATATTGCCATCTTCACAGAGCAGATACTTGCTAGGAACACTTAATTATGTGAAGGTTTCTGGCTAAGGTTGGTGGCAAATTCCTCACTGAAAGTTTTTTCAGTGGAAAATTTGGCTTATGACTGAACAGGAAATTATAGATAAAATTGCTCTCCTCAAAAACATGTTTTTTCATCTGAAAATAGAAACCTTCAGCACACAAAGTCTTTCAGTTGTTCATCAATGCTTGATTATAAGATTTTCTGTCATCAGGTTTTGGTTTGCTCATGCTTTTATTTTAAAAAAAACCCACCCAACTTTCCATTCATAATATTGACAAAAATAATTTTTCTAATTTAAATTTTCAATAGTAGGAAAAATATTCTCGCAGTTGATTTGTGATAGCAGTTGAAAGGCCATATAATTTCAGAGCAAGTTATAAGGAAAAAGGCCAAAAAAAAAAGAAAAAGAGAAACAAATGAGTCAGAAGACGGAACCAGATCAAGGATGCAGAGGACGTACAGCATGTGAAGCAAATCTGAACTACTCCTTTGTGAGCACATTGTCAGAAAGATCTCCCTCCATAAAAGCCAAGCACTTATTGACAATAGCTGACCATAGATATCCCCAAAAGCAGAGTTGCATTTACCTTTAGGCAGCAAGTCCTTGAAGTCCTGTTAATTTGGAGGAGCAATACAGAAATGAGGTTCACGCTTTGCCTGCCATTTTGCTCATCTTTAGATGCTCCAAGAAACCCAATTGCTTCAAAACCCCTTTCTCCTTTGTCTCCTCCTCTCCTCCCTCACCCTCCTCAGTGATTATTAAATGCTATTGCTCCAGCCAGCAGCTGTTTTGCGGAAAATGGTCATTTTGTAATCCACAATGCAATCACAGCACAGCTGCTCTGAGAGATTATACGGGAAGAGATTGGTGCCGCGGTCTGGGATTAAGTGCAGAAGGGCGACCTGCATCAACTGAGTAGAAAGTTTCCATAAAACACAGAAAAATCCCAGCCATCTCCATGCAGTGGCTGGCTGGGAGCTTTTATGAGGGAGCTGGCAGCCCCCTGGCCAATGCTTCACGGGACGAGTGACCTTAGCTCAGAAAGCACTAGCACGCTTGGCATCAGGTCACCCCTTGCCCCGTGCAGTGTCTCAGCAGTACATCAAAAACCACAAGCCCCTCAGCCCTGGGATACCTTCTTGGCTACACTTGCCAGTCGCAGAAAGGGAAGAACAAAGTTTGTGACTGCATCTGCTCTGAGGACTGAGGAGTTCAGACCCTGAGGAAATGCCAGCCCAGCTCTCCCCATGGGCACGGGAGAGTTCAGTAGCAAAAGAAGCCCCTTAGCAGAAATGCTGCTGAGTGGCAGTCTGGCACCACCACCGTGACTGAGGTATGCGACAAATCTGAGAAGTCCAATACGCAAAGGATGGGAGCATGGGGAAGACTTAGGGGTGTCCCTTACAGCAGCAGCTTTCATCAAGGCACAAAACTCACCAGGAACCTCAGTTCCCAGCAGCTTCATATTGGATGAATTTGGGAAGCTAGTAAGGGAGACAAGAAAGATTCACACTCACCTTGAGCTCTTGTCCTGAAAGTTTAAAGGCCCCACAATACCTGAGGGTGTTGATACACCTTGTTTGACATCAGAATAGCAAAAAGTATGAATGGCACCACCTCTCAGGAGAACAAACTGTCACAAGAGGGCATGGAGCAGCACTGCGTGGAATCAAACTGCAAGGGAGAGGAGCATTCCAAAGGTATGTACCCCACCTTGCCCACAAAGGTTTTGCCCAGTGCCAAGAGGGTGAGGAGCAAGCAGATTCCCTGCCTGCCTGCCCTGCTGTTCCTCCAGGCCAGAGGAAAACAGCAGTCCATCTGCTCTCATCCCCGGCGTCCAACAGCGGAGACCGGAGGTGTACGAAAGCTCTGGGTGACTGACAGCACAGCCCGTGACAGCCCCTGCACAGCACAGGCAGCAGACGGAGCCAACAGGTCCAGGGCTCCCTGCGTGGGCTCTGCTGTCACAGGCTCCTGACCCTTCCTGCCCTGAGCAGAACGGCCGCTAGCTCTGTGGTTATTTTAATCCCAGCCGCTGCGTAAGCTCCTCTAATATAGATAATCATTTCTAAGGCAGGCTAACTGACAGCAATGCTAAATGTTTCTGTGCTCCATGGGCTGCCTGCACGTTCTTTGGTCAATAAAAAGGTTCTGTTTGACACAGATGCACTTCATTTACACAAGTAGCTAGAGTAACAGCTGATGCTGTTTAAGAGGAGAGCGGTAATTTTTTTTTTTCATTGCTCACACTCTCTGCATCTGGGAACCTTAAGTTTGGCATCTAAATGCTCAGCAAAAAAAAAAAAAAGCGCCTGGTTTTCAGGCTCAAGAACAGATAAAGTCCAACTCCTTACTGATAATCCTTAATGTTAACATGTTCCCGATTTTAAGCTTGATGAGAGTCTCATTAAAATCCAGGATGCTATGTCAGTTTCTAAAGCTGGGATCATGGCATATATATTGCTGAAATGAGACTGAATTAGATTTATAGGGATAAGAATTCAGATTTTAAAAGAAATTTATCACTAATATGCTATGGTTTCAAAAATATACACATATCAGATTTAGTATTCTGAATAATGGCAGATATTTATCCTTCCAGAAGATTTTTTTTTTCCCTAGTCTTCTTTTTGAGAGTCTGCTACTCACATGTGTGCTGGCGGGGAGCAAAATATAAGTTTAGATTTCTGTTCCTTCCCTTTATATTTTTCCTCCCCCTCTATCTTCCTTTTTTTTTTTTTTTTTTTTTACATTTATGTCAACACAACCTCTTACCTCAACTGGGGATATGGGGGTTTGAGTTATCTTTGAGTTATCTGAACCTGAGGGAGCTCCTGAAATCATTGGAGGAAGAAAAAAGAGAGGAATGAATGGAGTGCCTTAGCAGGACATTTGCTCCACCTTCTGCCTTGCACAGAACTATTCTTTCTAATACATTTTCCAATATTTTGCCAAGTCCCACATTAACTTTTTCAACGTGTTTCCATCGCCAGGTTATTGCATACAGTTCACACAACATAAACACCACATCACGTTTCCTGATGTTCAACAAACTGCCCTCAGCAAAATTTTATGAGATTTAAAAAAAAAAATCTCCATTCCAACCTCACTTTAATCTGACCAATTATGGACAGGAAAACCAATCTGTATCTGTCTTTCACCCTACCGTGCCTTCCAGTTTTCTCCTCTTTGTATCTGATATTTCCCACCATAACTTGGCTTGGCCAGAGGTTTTAGATGTCTCTTTCTCTTTGAACTCAGCAGCAGCCAGTCCCTGGTGACTCGTTTAAGATTCGCTCATTGAAGTGAATGCCCATAGCACTAGATTTCCTGCGCAATCAGCCAAGCACTTGGCTTATAGAAACAAAACAAAGGAAACAAAATGCAAAACACAATCCTAGCACAACACCTCTATGGAGATTGCGGACGCTACAGCAGCCTGGGCGTTTACAAGTGATGCATTTTTTTCTCAGCTGTATCCATCCATACTTAGGGTGTATCCCATCCCAAAGTGACATCCTCAACTCCCAGAGATGTTGGTGGAGAAGAAGGACATGAAGCCCTTATCAGATAGGGCCCAACAATTGCAGTACTTAACTGGGAGGTCTCAAGAGGCACATGGCTCTTCATAGCCCTCCATGCAGTCCTCCTCCCCAGGGATATCAGGGATCATATGCTGTCCTGACACTGCCTCTTCAGCTGTCCTGAAGAGGAAAAGAGGAGGAAGAGCAGCTATTTACACCCATAACGTCCCTCTGTGAAACCTGGACAAAGACCGGCTTATACTCACCCCTCATTCCACACATTCCTCGCACATGAGACTTCCTACCGCTCCTGTTTTTGCTGTTTTTACAGGAAGACCGTCCAGCGCTGCAGTCCCCTCCCTTACTGCCACACGGAAAGCAGGATGTATCCGGGTGGCAGTGACACTGAGAGAGCCAGACTTCTCAAACCCAGTGACAGACTGCAAATGCCAGATTTGTCCCTGAGCTCTGAATAATTCCACTCAGATTGTAACCTTTATTTAGCTGTTTGCATGATGCATTAACTCTTGCTCTGCAAATGACCTCACCAGGCCTATTTTTTCTAGTCTGAGCACATTTAAAGGTGAATTCTGTTTCTAAACATGAACATCTTACACTTCTAGACATCAAGTCTGTGAACAGAAATCAAGATTGAAATGAGATAAGTAAATTCATCTTAAAGATGAACAAACAAGCTTGCCATCAGTTTGGACCTAACTACTCCCCCCCCCACCCCGCCCTGTACTTTTTTTTTGTCCTCAAAACAAGTCTTACTTGGATGGATTTTCTTCTAGTCTTTGTGATTATGAACCATTCAGAAACCACATGGAAAGTAGATATGAAAAGAGAAAAAATCAAATGCAGTAACACAGATTTTGCGGACTCATTGGAGATTCTAGATGCCCCAATTTCTAGATAGGCAACAGAAGACTACTTAAAGGGGGTTGCTTTCCAGAGAATATTTAAACTCTGGAAACTCTATGATGTGTTCACCTGAGCACACAGAAATTAATAAAGTTGTTATTTATTAAATTTAGCCAATCAGAAACTGTAAATAGACAAGAAAGAGACTTTTTTTATATAGATCTATAAGGATATTAAAGAGGACCTAGTCCAGGAAAGGGTTCATACAAACCCCCAGGTAGATAAACACTTACCTTACCCACTGCTCACTACCCCCATCTGCTCTTCTGAGGCATCCAGTGAAATAATATAAGGTGATCATGGATTCTCCACACTATTCTTTCACTCTGACTGAACACACAGCAGCCAAGGAATTCCATGAGAACTGATCAGATGCTTTGAAATGTACAAAGTCAGTCACTTTATTGATGGGTTAATTCTTTCTGAGCTCGCTAATTCATCACGGTACATTATATCAGCCGCAGGATTGGCAGGGCGTCCACTTCTGCAGAATCCGTCTTTGTAATTTGGTAGTCCCCTTTATGAAAATTGTTGCCAGTTTTAAGTCTACCACTTACAGGATCTCAGTCTGTTACTCCACAGAATCACAAACATCCAAACTCAATGGCTGTCGCAGGCTCATGGAGGTTTTTTTTATCCTCAAGCGACACCATTACAACAACATAGTCTTGTCTTGGGTGTAACAGAACCCAAAGAACTTCAGACAATCATTTCTAGTGATACACAGAGCTCCTGCTGGAGCTCTAGCACATATTTTATACAACTAACTAGAATCGACTCTGCAACAGATTATGATGAAAAACCTATCACATCCTTAGAAAAGTTATTCCAATGGTTAATTAACATCACTCTTAAAATTTTGCTCTTGATTTGTAAGCACAGTGTCTCCTTTAGTTTTCCAATCTCACCAAGCTGCTTGAACACACAAATAAATAGCCAGCGAAATGATTTCCTAAAAATGTTATTGTAAGAGTCACAAATCAATGCATTTCATTAGAGGCACACAGTGTGATCTAACAAGCTGGCTGACAGCCCAAATTCCTGGTTCTGTACTTGGCTCTGACACGTAATTCTACCCTCCCATTGGCCAAGTCATTAGTGGTGCGTTTACACTGCAAAGCAGTGGCAGTGATGGGGAGTAAACATTCAGTGCTTGCTTTAATTGGGTGTTGCTAGCAATTTCGCTCCAGCAATATGGAACACAATTCAGGGTACAAACCTCAGTCCAGAAATGGAGTAGAGTAAGTTGTGCTGAACTCCACATTGCCACGGCTGGAGTGATAGTTCAAAAAGAGTTCCTGTTTCCCTACACTATAAAGTTGGGTCTTCACAGTCATTCCCACAGATGCACGTCTACAGCACAGCTGATCCTTGTTGATGTTGGAATCAGCACAAAGGCGGTGGGAAAGAGA